TTTATTGAGAATAAGCGATTATAATTTAAACTATGGAGTACAAACGATTGAAACATGAATCGTCGACCATTACAACAAAATATAACAAGACATTGTATAAGTGATATTTGGTCCACTAAGTTTTTGCAAAAAAAAAAAACCAGTACAGTTGGGTCGGGGCATAGTGGGGACGGAGCATAGTGGGGACGGAGCATAGTTGGGACGGGGAGGTCACAGGTTTACAGGAATTTTTAAATCTGAAAGTGATAAAATCACTTTCGAAAAAACGCTTTGATGCAAATCGGTAGTTAGTATTTTCAATCCAGTACAGTCCAAACCAAGCACAGTATAAACCAGTAAAGTTAGAAAGTTTTAAATGAAGGTTCTGTATTTACAAATGAGCATCAAAGCGTTAATTTGAAAGTGATTTTATCCGAGAGGACTAGTACAGTAGAGTATAGGCATAATGTAATCAAAGCAATGAGGAAACGGAGAGGTCACTGGTCTACAGGAATTATTATAAATAAAAGTGATAAAATTGAATAGAATCACTTTCAAATCAAGATGTATAATACATCGTATAAATAAGTCAATTAAATATTTTTAGAGGAAATTTAGTGTTTTACTTTGAATCTAATTTGATTCAAGTGTAAAACGGATTACTTTAAGTTCTGAAAATTATTGTTAAAATGATTATAAACAGAGGCCGTCGTTTTTGGAAATCTCCACTTTGCCTGTTCACTATTTGGGTATTTACAACATTAAATAGTACAATATGTTAATGTGAAAGTTTTAATACCACAAAGTACTGTTAGTGGAATTATTAGACTAATAATAACTATAACTATAAATTATAACTACAAATAACGGTCAATAAATTATATATATACACTTTCTTGGTGGCAACATTGTTTTACATAGATATGTTGTGTATAAATATAATAGATATATCTAAGTATTAAAACTATTAATTAAACTGTATATTTTTATTATGATATATATATTATTATACAAGCGTTCTGTTCGACCATTTCCTCTTGAATTAATAATATTATGATGGGTATTCGTGATACATACACCATATCGTTTGTTTTTATTTTTCTGAGGAGTCATGTATCGTAAATGATTTATGTAAGCGTATTCTTTGCTCTTCTTTAAACGTATTCTAAAAACTAACAGCAACAGATGTGAATGATAATTATCGTTTAAGTAAATGTAGTTTTACTATATTGTTAAGCCAAACAATAAACGATGACGTTTGATAGATATTAAAATTCATCAAATTGTTTTTTATACTTATAATATCCTCTCACAGTGCAGATTAGGTTGTAATTTACCAGAATATTTTGGACTTCATAGCATATAGTTCTCGTCTGCCTTATTAATATATTTACACTATTATTTACTTGAACTATTAAATATTAGCGATTATATGTTAAAACATGTTAGATCAGAAATAGTGTTGAACTTCGGTGGTAATTATTACATTTCATGAATATTAATTATTACAATCATTACAATTACAATTATTACACCTCCAGATCAACGTCTTCATCTGAATATCAAGTAACCGCTTTGTTGCTGGCTTATATAGATACTATCTAATATCTATGTGCTACGATTTCGTGTAAAGCATATTATATTTTACTTCGATTGGGATTGAAAATATTTTTTGAAAAAATGTAAGAAATGGAATGCTATTTGACAAACAATTATTATGAGTAGGGTAAATTGCAAAAAAAAAACGAATTATTACTATTACATAATAATTAGTAAATGAACATACAATTGATCTAAGTAGTTATCATTTATGTGACTTTAAAACTAATCTTGTAATCTTGGTTTAGGATTTAGCATGAGGATGCTAAGTTTTTAGCACCTATTTGTTGGGATATTCGTTATCGTCTATAGTAAAAAATTAACCATTTTTTAGGTAAGATACTCGATCAAAAAACATATAAAATGACACAGCTGACCTCGCCAAACCTTCCGTCTTATTTATTATAAAAGCATCATTGACAGAGGATAACTCATAAATCATGGGAAAGTTTTCTAAATTTCAACGCTTTTGAGACAATAACGGGAAACCACCGCATTAATATTTAAACCTTTTTTTTCCTTGGCCCATTATCAGATATTCCAAAGCCTACAAATTTCCCCCTTCGCCGTGGAAACGATAAATTACCACCAAGGGCACGCCTTCTATATAACCGTTATTCTTATATACCTTTTATTTAAGTATAGAACATACGTATGCGTTCACGTTAAACGTCTCGGGTAACGATATTTCGGTGAACGATAAAAGCACTAAGGGATAAGGGTTTTTATCATCTACTATTTGTCTTCTCTCTTTTTTGCTTTCCTTATATGATGACGTTAAACCGTGCGTGTTAGATATAATCCCAGATTCGATTATATGCGATGGACGATCTTTAAATTGTACCCTCCAAACAGATGACTTACTGATGTCGAGAAATCTTTGGTTCGGATATTATAATCTGAATCAATTTGTTTATAATAGCGTTAAATATTTGTATATATTTTGCATAAACAGTTCATGTTATTTGAGTTTAGTTAGCTTGCGTTATGCTCGGAAACAGTATAGACATTTATGTGTTGGGCATCAGTTATATGCAAGCTGATAATGATGGAGTTAAAAAAGATGTGATTAGTATAATTAATTGTGGTTGGATGAAGCGGAAAGAAACAAATAGAGATGTGGTGTGACAAAAACGTGTCATTTAGAGTAATAGGAAATACTATAGTGAAACCAACTGTGATGTATGGAATTGAGAGTTTGGCATTGAATAAAAAATACGAAACTAGGATAGACAGAAATAGAAAAGAGTATACATAAAGTAATTTGATTAAAGTTAGTTGGAATTTATTTAATGTTGTAACGCAAACATTAGATTTGTACTCGTGTACTTATTATTTGAACTGTATTATATTATTCCGTGTTTGCATTGACGATAACTTGTGGATTTATAGAATGTGTCTCGGAAAAGCACGGCTGAGAATTTATAGCCATTCTGAGAAATTTAATTTTTGTAGTGTTTGAGTGAATTATTTGTCTTATTGAAGCAGCCGCGTTCTACGTAGACACGCAAACGGTTATTGGTAATAAGGTATATGATATTTGTTGTTTTACGAATTAAAAGGGAGCAGTCTGCTAGCGGATAATAGCGGATTTCCTATTACAATGGCTGTAATGCACCGATTGGCATTTATCTAGCTTGGAAGCACAAAGTAAACGCTATACACGATACAACACGGAATAAGTGGTTAGAGAAAATAAATAATAAACTAGGTAATTTTTGTATCCGACAAAGAATACTTGTGTGTTTTGCAAGGAATGTTTTGCGCATTGCGCTTTGGGCTTGTGTTTGGTCTGCAGAACGATTATACTTTCATGGGTGTGATGTAAACGGATTCTGCACTACGTTGCCGTATTGCTTATATAGGAACGGACTACTATTTTTTACACTATTCGAAGAACGAATCTGTGTAATTTTAATTGTTGAGTAAACAAAACACTCTAATTTTTGTTAGAAGAAATCAGTGTAACGGAATTAAAGTGCTGAATCCTTTAGAAATTCAATTTTGAAAATAAAATGTGCTCTTCCATATTTACTCCTCGATCAATTAACGAAAGACTGGACCACCAAAATCGTGTCACTAGATTAAAAATACACTTAGTTGAATAGTGTACTCAAATTGATCTTTTAATCATTTGTGGTATTACTCACAGTCGCCTCGCTCAATGAATTACTAATAAAGTATATTGTTTACGCTTCGTGTTCTAACGCATAAGACGCGGAGTTGTCCGAGATTGTACTTTAGAACCGTTGTCTTTAAGCAAAGGTATTTAGGAAATGTAACGTTGAGATGTGTTAATCACATTTTAATGGCTTACGAGCTTAGTCTAAAATCTAGAATCCGACCACCTGTAAGACATCCTGAGTAAATTAACATTAAAGTCGGTGCCGTCACGACCTTTGGCGGCACCGCTAAAGTAAAATATAGTATGCCATCACTTAAGTTGTATTTTTATTTATAAGCCATACGATTATTTTAACATATTTTTAATACGATTTAAGTATATTTTTTTAATTTTTAATTAACTAAACGGTAAATTAATATTACAGTTTTTTGTTCACTCTACAAACACTTGTTTTTCATATACATTATGCCGTTTACCATTCGTTGCTTACCGAAATAAGTGATGGTCTGTGAATTTTGAGTCTGATGTTTGAAGTTGAAAAAACTGCACGGAATGCAATGTATAAAATATTCTAAATAAAATGTACAAAAGTTTAGGTGTATTCTGCAACTTTTTGATATAATCAATGTCATACAACCGGGATGGTTACAGTCTTATACATTGTGTAAGTTCTGACTAAAATATTGTGTTTCTAAAGTGGAAACGCTTAAAACAACATTAATTGGAAAATATCGTTTTTTTTTTAATATCAGATTATAAGACATAGTAAATTACTAACAAAATTAACAAAATAGTTGGGTAGAATTTACTTAAGTTTTCAGAGCTTGAAGTTTGGAAAAGAGAATAAGTTTGATAAAAAGTTACTTAATACATGACAGCAATCAGTCGCGAAGAATATTTAAGAATTTGTTGGTATTAAATTGCATTTCTTTTAGGTTTTTCGCCAGAGGTTCAGTTTTTTAATTTACTAGTTACTACGTACATAAGCTCAAAATAAAAAATAAAAAATGGAAATATCTTAGTCTTATAATTTTATATTGCTAGTTATTCGATTAAGTTTATTTCTTATTATAAGATCATTAAATAATGGCCTTATTCCCATTGTGTGAGGCTAGTGTTGAGGGTAATTATATTTTTATTAAAATATGTATATATACTAAAGTAAAATCAATAAAGACAATTTATGAATAATTAGTTCAAAACACTCGAAAAGGGAATAATCCATGTAATTAATTGTTGTGCCTATCTTACTATTTAACACTGTTTAACCGTTTAGAAATAATTATCATGTTTATAGGCACAACGATTTACCCTGGAACATTCGAAAGTTTGTGCACAATCAATTGATGTTTTTCAACTTTTCATCAGATCTAAAAACTGTGGGACCATGGTCGAAGAGTAACTGGTCGCAAACGGACTTGCCACGGCTCAGAAAGGGAATGGTCGGAGCTCAAGTAAGACCATTTAAAGTAAAACAATTATATGTTTATACATTTTTTCTGTTACGATTAATATCGATAATCAGATAAATTACAATATTATCCAATGATTATTGTAAATCCAATGGAGAGTTACAGTTTCCAAAAAATGGTCCATGTTATTTAAATGTGCCCTTTCAACACGATTTTCAGTTAAAACAGGGATTAGAAGATTGCTTTAAAAAATTATCTGGAACTGATCTTTGGCAAACTTATTAGTTATTAGTATTATTCGTTAAAATTGCTAACAATCGGCATACTGATAAATGTCGACATTAATCGATCAATGTACAAAAACTTATTAATATTCTCTTTCCAAGAGCATGCACTACAGAAATTGACAAAAGTAACTGGTCGATTGGAGTTACTTACACATTACTACTAGCCGTTTTGATGCTATGATTCTTTTGACTTGAACAATTTCTTAGGGTCTCGTTTAGTTTACAACAGCTTGCAAGTTGAAAGTAAAACACTAAACGGTCGACTGGCGCCCATAAGCGTTATCGATTGAGTCGGCGATAAGTTTTTTATTATTGCATTTCAAGTTATAATTTTAAAATGTGGTCCACCCGTGCTGTTGACAGTTTTGGTCGGCATACGTACCCTGTGGAAGACAACACCTGGACGGCGTCCAAACTACAATGGAACAAATCGACGTCATTAGAAGGCTGGCCGAGAACTATTCGGGCGATTTACAGCTTGTTACTTCGGTAAAAGGTACATCATAAATTGTGCAACCATATTGTATTTTTTCCCCTTGAATGCATTTTATTATTATTATTATTACATTCTCGTCTTGCAGGCATACGAGAGGCGCATAAAGCCAAGAAAATCGCCAGTTTAATCGGAGTTGAAGGCGGTCATTCGTTGGGAAATTCGCTGGCGGTTCTCAGAATATTCCACAGCCTCGGAGCAAGATATCTAACGTTAACGCATACTTGCGACACGCTATGGTAATACGCATAAACGCATACAGACCAAAGGGTTTATAAGGGCCTTTTTTTAAGTCTTTAAATAGAACCTAGTCTACCATTATTCGCTCCAAACTCTGGGGGATTTTATTTAAAAAATCAGTATTAAAACCGGAAACGTCTTAAAATTTAAATAACTTTAATAATTTTTTATTGACTTATATAAACTAAAATACATATCTGACATCCTCCGATTAGATAACATAATATAGTAAATTCGATGGTAATATTATAACCTAATGAACGACGATACATTGTAGCATAGTTGGCTAATTGAAATATTCTCGAACCGGCATTATTATTTCGTTTTATTTGATATTATATTATTATTTAAGGTATCAGTTGGGGTTATCAGATGATGTGTTGTAATACTGTGGTAAACAAGCTACACTGGATTTGTATTGACATAGTTATCGTAATAACAACGGACATGGTTTTCGGTGACAAAGCCTTATAGCCGTTAACGTATTAATATTTCAGTCTCTATTCAATTTCAGTCATTAAATGTAACGTTTCAACCGAAACTACAATACGATAATGTCCAAATATATTTACAAAGTCAGAATATTATTTTATTATAACCACATTAAAATAGTAGTATGGTGAAAACAAAAATTAGGATCGGGTTAAGATTATATTGTTTTAATTTAGTAGTAAAATTATTGGCCTTTTTTTTTTTTGGTGCGTTGTCGAAATTGAACATATTTTTATAACAGAACACTTGGCATATTGTTAAAAAAAGTAAAAAAACAAATTGCGTAATCTGAAGGCTGAATGGTAAAGTCTTATATTACATAACTGTAAATAACCGAAATAAGAACATATGTAATCTCCAATTATTGTTATATATTTTTTTTAATACAAGTAATGCCTTTCTAGTTTAAACATTAACGTTATTATTTTCATTGTAATAAATTATTATTTTTCTGGTTCAGTTGGCTTTGGGCTGTTATTAAAATGTTTTAAAACGAAAGCAGTTCTAAAATAAAATAGCCGGAAATTCGAAAATCTGCTTACCATAATATGTTTGGCAGCAAATGATCTCTGGCATAATCTCAGTAAGTTCTACTGTACTGGGCTAGAAAGACTAAGCTAGAGCAAGAAAAACTGAGCTGGATGCTAAAATAATGATATATGGTAAGGAAGACTGAGCTAGGTATCGGACAGGGAACAAAGAGTGAACTGTGGACTGATACAGGGAATGGAGAACTATGTGTGCAGCAGTTAAATTTTGCAGTTACTGCAGTTGCTGTCAAAATATATTTCTCGAATCCACTGGCGGTTTCTACGTTGATTCACATTTGGTGGTAGCATGTGTACTTAAAAGTTGTTGTTCAGGCGTTAAAGGAGAGAAAAATAGTCGACCTAATTGAATTTCGTTATTGCCTCGTGTTCGTTAAGTGTTTTGCAGCCAAGTACATACAAGCGGTTTCGATGGTATAAATCGAATTCGCACTCAGGTCAGAAACTTTATTATCTTGAACTGGTGTGTACGACCAAACAGCATATTATAGCAACGCCCCGCTGTGGTGCGTTGTCGTTTGTATTTTTTCAATTTTGGACATATCTTGTAAATCAGTAACAATGTATTTTTGCTGGGCCAATATTTACTTTGGTTTTATGACAAAAAAATGACATCATCCGCAAAACCAACGTCCGCGATATGATTTTAAAAAAAAAATGCAATTCATTCGTTTCTTCCATGGCTTAGCCGCCGCAATAATGTATTACCTAACCAGATTGCACAGTGTCAAGTACATTATAGTTGTGTGTATGTATACTGTATCTAACTGGGTTTAAAATTGGCTAGTATCATATTTGCAATAACTTTTGAAAAATTTTCCACCGTGGGTTTTTCTGTTAGATATGGACTTATTGTACTTATTAAATAACCAAACAACGAGGTAGTCCTTTAGAAAACTCAACGTACTATGTATTATGACTACGTCATGTATTATAAATAGTGATGGGAAATAAATCCGGATTTTCTTAAAATCCGTAAAATCCGTTTTTCGGTTTTCGAAGTTCAATGAAAAAATCCGGATTTTACGAAGAATCCGGGTTTAATGACAAATCCGGATTTCAAAATTTGAACTTTAGAAACCGTAACCGGGGTTTAAATAAAAAGCCAAATTACCGATTTTAAAATTCATAAAGCCATTTTGTAATTACTAATTCAGCAGTACAAGATGACTAAATTGTTCAAATTAGTTGACTTTTAATCCTCTATGAAATGCTATTATCGGACCCCTTCAACTAAATTACCCTAATTTATATGTTTCTAATGAACTTTAAGTTTGATATATGTAATCTAGTTTAAATACAAAGTAAGTATGCTGTAATTTTTTTTTTTTTTCCTCATTTATATATATATTGTGTTGTGTAATTTTCATATTATTACAACTTATTGTATTAATCTATTATAAAAGTGTCATTGAGATTTGTAAATCATGTTTATACATAATGTTCTTATAACTATAAAAACAGATACCTAATTTACCAATTAAATAATTAAATATTTTTGTGTACATAAACACGTTGTACATAATATTAAATAATTAACTAATATAATTAATTTATTATTGTAAAAAATTGAAATCCAATCTACGGATTTAGAATGAAAACTCCGAAATTCGGATTTATAATGAAAACTTCGAAATCCGGATTTATAACGAGAACTTCGAAATCCGGATTTATAACGAAAATTTCGAAATCCGGATTTCGAAGTTCGAACAATACAACTCCGGATTTCGAATTTCGAAGTTTAAAACTCCGGTTTTTTGAACTTCACAATATCCGGATTTTCCCATCACTAATTATAAAGTATAAAATTGTATTTTACAGGGCAGATTGTTGTTCAGGCTTAGATTCGCCAGAAAACGAACACCAAGGATTGTCTCCATTTGGACGGGTAAGCGTTATTGAATATTGAAACATTTTACTAACTATGAACTTTTAAACAATGTAAAATTTTTAAATACATTTTTAACAAATATTATTATATTTTATACATATTATTTAAGTGTCATCTGTTATCAACTCTAACATATAGTATATTTAATAAACTAGTTTTAACTATTATTTACTAGTATGAACTTATCACTTCTAACTAATAGACAATATGTATCTATTTGATTGTCTAAAAACCCCTTGTGGGCGCTCATATAATATTATCAATAGGTATACGAAGTAACGCAATAATTCTGACATTGTAGTAATTCCGGACTATTATATAAATGCAATATTAACTCTCAGTATTTACAATTAAAGACACAATTAAACAAATAAATCGTCCCAGAGGCCCCGCTGGAATTTTGTTGGGTTTTTTCCAACACTGCCAAGTGTGAAAACAAACTGGGTTGGACGATCGAAAAATCTTCTTATAATGTAATAAAATTTACATCCGTCCGTATTGAATCTGCAGTGCATCATCACGTGCTGTATATTCTGTATTCCTGTTTTCATATTATTCATACCTCGTTGTGTTATACCGCTTTTTTTGGCACATCTTATTATCCCCTTGGATGATTCACAGTAAGTAGTATGTAGGAGAAATAAAAAATATTAATAATACGAAAATATCGCTTTATATGGCACGTTATTATTCAGTTCCACTTTCCGTGAAAAGTTTCCAATGCAAATATATTTTACCCGTCTACATTTCTATGTCATACCGAAAATTTTGTTTAATACAACAATTACCGTCTTCTCAGAAATAAACGTACACATTTTATATTCAAATTCGCATTACAGACGCCAATTGGAATTTTATTCTAGAAAGTTTAAAATTAATAAGTATATATACGTACATATTTATTTCTCAATACCGTTTCATTAAGAGTTTTCTTTGAAAAAATAAAATTCAGAACTTCTGAAAATAGAACGTTGATTACGTGCTATTTAATAAGGCTTACTACGAAAATTAAAAAACAAAAATGTTTTTTTTCTCCTAATTACAATATAATTTATATTTTATTTTGTTGAACGATTGGTATCCCAGTACAACGGTAGTTTGGTTAATGAATATTTATAAATGAAGTTACAATAAAACCCCAACAAAATTGGCAAGTAAATAAAAAACACTGTATTTATATTGAGCTATCAATTAGTTAATTTAAAATGCATTCGTAATTTATTTTTGATTTACCGTAAAGAAATTGTTTAATTGAACGAACAACAAGCTTTAGTTGTTTTTTTTTTCGTAATCGTCCAATTAACGACCGTATCTGTCCGTATAACGATTAAAGTTTAAATGGAATTTTCATTGCGGTTCGTTTTACGTTCAATATTTGTTTTGGACACAACAGTTAATAATTATTGTATTACTTTAGCTGGTACTGAGAGAACTCAATCGACTCGGAATGATGGTCGATCTTAGCCATACGTCCGTAAAGACAATGGAAGATGCGCTCAACTATACCTTAGCACCAGTGATTTTCTCACATTCTTGTGCATACGCTTTGTGTGCTTCGTTAAGAAACGTTCCTGATCACGTGCTCAAACAAGTGGTACATTTTTGGACAGTTTTTATTAAAATGTAAACAGCTATAGTTATCGATTTGTAACACAAGAACATCACCGTTTTGTTTCAGGCCTTAAACGACGGTATAGTCATGGTGAGCTTCTATTCTTATTTTATAAGTTGTAATTCCACGTCGACCATGGAACAAGTAATTGGTACGTTTCATAATAATAATAATAATAGTATATTGTTACACCGCACATAAACAGTTGGTATTTGTTCATTAAAAAACGGTTTTGTGTTGCAGCTCATATTAACCATATAAAAACCGTAGCGGGCGAGGATCATGTCGGCCTAGGCGCTGGTTACGACGGAATTAATCAGTATGGGCATAATAATATTAATATATATAAATATAAATTTTGTTTGTTGAAATCGCCGTCTATAGGCGGAGGTTAAAACAGCTAAGAACCGTTCAAAATACATTTTCTTATTTCCTAGTAATTTGCAAAAGAGCAGGAAAAATAGGCGAAATATTCTTTGAGGACGCCACAATACATTTCAACGTAAAATTCCCCTAGAAAGAGTGATAGCCTAATTGTACATAGCTTATGGCACTTTAGGAACTAATATTAATATATTAATACAATATTTGTCAAAATCGGTCGAGTCTTGTGGAGATTATTCTGAGTTAAGTAAATATGACCATTAGCCTGATCTGATAGATATAACAATATTCGACCCATAGATAATAATAATATTTATCATTTATGGTCCAACCCCAGACAGGAGATTTAGTACTATAGATTTGCATACTAAACATACACGAATATTAAAAAATTATATAATTTTCTATGGTCGCAATATGAACTAATGTAAAATTGGGTAGCTCTAGGTTAAAGATGTTTATATCTATAGCTAAAGAATATACAAACTTTCAGATTATTATAATATAAGGTACTCGCATTTTTCCTCTTGTTTTTTTTAATTGGAGGCTTTTGGGAGGAGAGGAGATCTTGAGATGAAGAGATTTAAATTAAATATGCATAAATATACCCAATGTCAGATTATATTCATGTAAAAAGGAAGTACATAAATCGTATTTGGTTGTTTTATTTTTCAACAGCTTGCAGATGTGTCCTGTTACAGCCTACTTTTTTTATATGAAAATTGTTTACTATTAACGTGTATTTAAGTTGGCTTTAAGCGGTTATTTCGTCCTACCATCTATAGTTTGTTGTTTTAGGTAAGCATAATTTGTTTAGGGTGATGATATTCTAAGGAAGGTCCTAACGACATAACATATTTTTATGACTTCACGGAAAACGTCTAACAAAAGGATATTAGAATTTTAATCAGAAATGTGTCACAGGCTCAGAATTAATTTGATAATATTTACACGCCAAAATCATAATAATAATAGCATAGATTTAATATACTATATATTTGAATTTACTGTATGTTTAATTTATGATAATAGTAAAACAAACACCTCGTCAGAACGCTGTCAGTAACTATACTAACAAGAGCGCTACTGTAAAATTACAATCCAGGAAAATAACAAATTTGCTACGTTATGGTATGCTTTAAAAGCAGAGTTGGCAGTAACTCAGGATTTTTAATACATATAAGTTTTTTAGGGTATATAATCACAGCAATGTCATTGACTAAATTTTAATGTAAGTTTTTATAACTTTTTTTTATTACAGGTATTTTTTATGTTGGACTGTTATTATTTTTTATTTCAACGAAATTATTAAATTTTAATTAAAAATTTAAATTGCGTGTTTAGTATTGAACATTCTGTTTGGTGATTCTAAGACGATAACCGCGTTAAAGACTATAAAGGTAGAGAGCAGCATACAAATGTGATTTTAAATTACCTACCTACATGTTGAAACATATATATAAATATATATTATATTGATTATATGTTCTAAATTAATTTACTCAAGAATAAAAAGGGGTATTTTCTAAATGTTTTAAGCATGTCTATACTCAATAAATCCAAAACCCGCACCTTCTTCCGCAGTCGGGTAAATACCTGATTGATTGTCTTGATTTATTGATGCCGTTTCCTTTCCGTGTGCTTAGGATTGTTAATAAGGTAAGGTAAAAGAGGTTTTGTTCCACATTTTATAGCTGACCGAACTAATAAAAATGCATAACTTTTTTTCCAACGAGTAACAAGTTCTAGGTATATTAGACATGTTTTTTTTTTTAATTTTAAAGCAAAACAATAAATTGCTGTTCTTGTCAATTTGGCCTAATTAATCTAAGTATTTCAGAGAATTTTAACCATAACTTCTGAGTAGTTAGTCTTGTATAGTCTTGCAAATTATAATTTAAAAGTCGTCAAACTATAAACTAAGTTTTAAAGCTATTTTGATAAATAAACTGCAAACGCACAATTTCGGTCATGCATTCAAATCGTTGGATTTTGTTCATATTAAAAAAAAGTCTCAGAATACTTTTGGAATTAAAAATCTGATGTAATAAATATGTAGCGAGTCATATCAACGTTTCAGACGCCATTCTTATTCCTGGAAATTCCAAAAATATATTCCAGGCTAGAATATATCTCTAATATCTCTTATCAACCTGCTTGATTTCTTTTTACCCAATTTATTAGTTTTTATATGATATAAAAAAAATGTGAAGAACATTTGTGTAAATTAAACAGAAAGGCTAGTCAGTACATATAAGCTAGTATATTATAATATTGTATGGTCAGTATAAAAATAATTTAAAAATGTTGACATATTAATGAGGGAAAAAGATTTTATTTTATAGCACAAGAAACAAATATTTGTTAATTATTATTTGTTTAAATGTCTAATTATTTTAAATAACTTTAATTTAAATTTCTCTCTATTTTTCGAAGTATTATGCAGCAAGTTTGTGTGATGATAAATCTGAGAGGAAATCAAATTCAACATCGCTTGAGGCCTTAAATAATTTTGTTTCATAAATAATTTATTTTTACACAATTATAAAAAAATAGTTACAGTTTTAAATCATTTAAGATAAAAAAATTATATTAGATACATTTATTATATAATTTTTTCATAAATAAATATAAAACCATTATTATTAACTTAATTAAGGTAATGTTTTTCTATAAATAATAAATAAAGATAACAGCTGTTATTTATCGAGTTACAGATAATTTTATTGATGAATAAAAAAATAAAGGTATAATTTCTTTGAAAATAAAAATGATTACATAATTCATATTATTATTATCATTTATTATTTGTTTTAAATGTTGTCCAACACTAAATGTGCCAAATCATTTCGTTTGAGATATTTCGCGAGAAATCACGTGTTATGAGTTGTTTTAATTGTTATAACTACTTAACAAGGAATATCGGAAACCCTTAAATTTTAGAAATTAAAAGACATTTTTACTTTCACACTCAGCAAGTCTAAATAACATGTAACTGGTACATATTTACAATACATTCTGTATAGTATTTTCGTGAACTCGTTAATCAACATTTTAAATGCATTTCAGTACAACACAAGGACTGGAAGACGTATCACGTTATCCTCAGTTATTGGCAACGTTAATGACCAATCATTCTTGGACGGAAGACCAAATAAAAAAATTGGCGGGTAACAATTTGTTAAGAGTGTTTTCAAAAGTGGAAAAGGTAAATAATATGAATTGATGTCACGTTGATGATATTATGACGTATGCATTCTAATAATATATTTAATGTTCAGGTCAGAGATGAATGGAAAGAAGATGGCATGAAACCAGTAGAAGACATTTTAGTTCCTTTGAACAAAGATCCTTTACTGCCGAACTGCACCGATGCATATAACATGACCTAATATTATTTTATTTATAATAATACTAATTAGAAATACGTGTTGGAAAATGCATCGTGTCAAGTACCAAAAAGTGGTTAAGTACAATCGGTGCCAACAAAATGCATTGCTATTACTCTACAGTACCAAGGGATCCAAATGTCTGGCTCTTTGTTGTTGTTAGTAGGTATGAAAACAAAACTAGGTGTTGTGATAGGATATAGGAATTATGCATTCCTTTAATGACATTTTTTTTCGGTTAATTTTTTTAATTTTTATAGAGTAATTCATGAATTACATTACTTTTGTTTTAGTGAATTGTTGTTTGTTTGAAAGTATATTATACATTTTGAGCGGATTTTAAACAGAGTTGTTATTATTCAGATAATTTTGTATATCTAAATAAAATGATAAACTAAATTTGTATTTTATTTGTTCTTTGGTTATCAAATATTTAGTTGTTATTTATTATTAGTTTAAAATGTATTCATTAATTGTTTTTGATCTTTAAACACAATATTGTGTTAAAAAATTATACGATATTTGCGGATAATTGTTCTTATTAGTTAATTTTTATTTATTAGCATCAATTTGATCGAAGGACTTTAAATATATGTTTTGTTTGGATAACAATTGAGTATGAAAATAAAATTATTAAGATAATTGTTTAACTTAAAATTTACAATTGACTTAATTTTTATTTATAGTTTATATAAAATTGTTTTATTTGAAAGTTTATTAGTTAATATTTGAACTATAATAAGTATTGAAATTATGTCTTTTACCTGTCAAATTACGAATAAAGCAATTCGTCAAATAAAATGTATCGATTATTTTTAAATAAATACATTATTCGTCAAATTATCGATTATGTATTTACCTTATTCAACATTTACCCAACTTTGATGTAAACCACTCCGAATATACTTGTTTTTACACTTAAGAGTTTATCGGCTTCTTTTCTAGGTTATTGTGTGAATTGACTTTTTTACGTAAATGAAACAGTTATTCAAAAACCTACTTCCACAATAACCTAAAAAAAAGGTTGAGCAGCTTAATTGTTTTTACAGAATCAAAATCCCTCATTCTAAGTAAGCGTAATTTTGTCAGGCTTTTAGGTCTAAATTGGTTTCTTTTAGAAACAAAATGGCTTTTTCTCGTAGAAAAAAATGTGTAAGTTAAAAATGATACCTTTATACAAATTAATCTAAAAATAAATTGACGAGGTCGAAATTAGTTAAAACAATTTTTACTTAAGTATTGCCTATATGAAACCCCTTAAAAACCGCCCGTTTTTAATCCCCTAAATATATTTTGAAATAAATGTGAATTTATTATTTTATTTTTATTTTAGGAAAGTAAAATTGAGTTTTTAATGTTTATATTATTTCAAATATTGATGTGAAAATTGTAACGAAGTAGAAGAGGTTGGCTCTGATAATTTAACTTACAATTAATATAGGATATTATAGGTAACATACTATTCGTTTTACTTATAATTATGTTTAATTGATTTGTTTGCAACGAAATTTGAACTATTTAAGTTTTTTTTTGTTTTAATAATTATTGACCGGTCGCTTTATTCCAAGGTATTATGTACTATATTTTTCATTGAATTAAGGATTTTTTATTCTGTAGCTATGAATAAATTTATAATATAATATTTCCAATATATAATTATATTAAAATATCTGATACAAGTAATGAATATAGTATTCAGATTAAAATCTAGTACAAATATGTGCTGTAACTATACTTATAAATCATAATAGTAAATACAAAATCAACGAAATTTTACCGGGAAAAATTAAGTACTAACAGTGGTAGGCGATTTGATAATATATACTATTTAATTTCAGCCAACCATTAGACTAATATGTTAACTATTTGTCGTTGACGATACAATCATTATTGTAACTATATACTATAGAGTACGTACCATTGTTAAATTAATTTCATAAATTATTATTTGATATCATTTTTTTTAAATTTATTTTAATACAAATGTATATATTATGTTGAATTTAATTTAAGGGATTTATTAAGTGTTCATTAGATTATAAACGTACACCTACTAAATTAGATGATATTATTGTGTTGAGAATAACGTTTAGATGTTGTCTATGTATTAAAATAAAATTGAAAACTAATTTGTTTTTGTTTTATACTATGTTTTTATGCTGGTTTTTACGGATTAATTCCCTGTACTAGCCACTAGATAATCTTCTAAGTTACCTAACGATACATTTGCACAACAGAAAGTTATGGTTAAAGGTACATACTACGTAATATGTGTGGTAAATATGTCTTTTGTCAAGTTAATTTATTTTGAAATTATAATAAAATTGGAGAAACAGACAAATTTGTTTCCTAACAGTTTAATTAAATACTTACATTATTAGGTTCGATACGCAGCTAACATTGAAGGGTAAATTACGCTTTGGGCAAGAATTAGATAACTTGAGATGTATAATATCATGTTTACCGTCATGAAAAAATACATTAATAATCATAGCCCCTTTAAAGTTAAAAGCATTTTAATATCAATGTGAAACACCGTAAAACTCAAAGGTGTATAACCTTTTTTTTTTTACTTTTATTCCTTTTTGTCTCTTTCTTCAAATATTCTTCTTTGAATTACTTTGTTTCACCAGTTACTGAGTTTTGTCATTTGATATATTCCTCGTTCTCGCCAAACCTTCCAAGTAAGTTAAAATCATTGTTAAGTATGAAAATGAAGGAGCTGTAATATTTTGTTATTTAATTTTAACTATTTTACAGTTCATATGCTATTATCCGTTTTCAAAAGTACACTAAACAACGATATATAAGTATATGTAGCGCCATCTAGACAATTGTTTAAGACAACTGATAAACTTTATCAATAGAGTGCGTTACAATCTTCATTTTGCTTTTTTGAAATTTATTTGTAAGCTGAGTACCCAGTTATAATCAAGAAGATAACATTATTTTGCAAAATTCAACGAATTCACTGAACTAATAGAACAATTTTTCAATATAATATGACCTTATGGAAACAAATATTACGTTTCCAATATTAAATAATTTTTAATTGTGTTACTTTCTATACAAATATAAAGTAATTAACTCTAAAAAATGTCGGGAAACTGAGGTCATTAGCAAAATGTAAAGTTTAATCGTTAGTTTATTAAAAACCTCTGATGTTTTCAATTATTGTAATAATTTAATGTTGATGAACTAATTATTAATTGTTAGGATTTCTAGTAGTAATTGTTAAAAATAAATTGCATTACAAATATTTATATAGTTACTGCGTTCAGACAAGTTCCCTCGTTTGTGTTGATTCTGCTCTCAAATATTTAAGTAAATAAATTGAAAGTTTAGACTTAATGTAGTTCTTGGTATTTTGTACTTGTGGTTGTATCTCTCGACATCTTTAACGTCACGTGCCTTATTTATTTTCGTTTTGCTTTATTTTGTTTTTCCGTCTCCAACTCGGTTTTTTAGTACTTACATTATCTGGAGTTATTACACAAAATTAAAAATGAATTTGTCAAGTAGAAATAAAATAATTTTAACCAATTTAAGGGGATGAAAATTATTATTTATATGGGACAAAATATAGGTATTAGTTGACATACTTTAATTTAAGGTTTTTATAGTTACAAAACTTTTAAAGGTTTTTTTTCTACATTCTGCCGAAAGTTAAATAAAAAAATATTGATGTATTAGTCTCATTCTGGTCATTTATTGAAAGGATTGCAAAATTGTTTATTTTTATGGAGAGCTTACGACTAAGGAGGGTAATAAATTATTTTTTATTTAATTAATATAAAAACACTTAATACAATTTTTAACCAAACGCTTATAATTTAAATCATATTTAATAATTGTCTTTTATTTAAACAAAATTTCATACCTATTGATATAACAATAATTGCAAACATTTTTCTCAAGCTTGGAAAGGATTTAGCATGACACAATAATAGTAAATAATAGTTTCACTTCTAGTAAATTGTTATTTTACCTAATTTTGAACATATCAACCAAAAAACAAAAAACCGATCATTGTATCAAAGCTAAAATATATAAATAATATATATATTACGAGAAACTTGTAAAAATTAATATGTAACCTAAAAAAAATCAAACTGCTTATCGCTTAACTATATTGTAATGCGTTTGAGTGGATGCATTCAATATTTCGTCGCATATTTTTTATGGAACAAAATAAGATTTTTTTCTTATGAACAACTGAAATATTTATACACCAGTAATTTACTCATTCTATTTTAAAATTAAAACACAGGTTTAATAGAAAAATTAAGAGAGCTCTTGATACACATCACGACATTGATTGACTCTGGATCACAAACTACGAACATTTATAATAATAATTGTATAATACCAAGTGAAATATGTTTACTATAGTTATTGATATATTTTCTGAATTAACTGTTTATGGTTAAAAATTTAGTAAAAAGTTGATATTATGGTGTATATGTGTACACGATTTTTAGTAGTTTAATATTATGCAAAAAATATAAGCTAGTAAAATTACATTCCATAACTCAAATTATAATTTTCAGTAGTATAATAAAAACCTTATGTTGTAATTTGATGGCCGATTGACTTTTAGTAGGTATTGTAGTATTTTAAGATTGAATGAATTGTGCCGTATTATAAGTATGGCTTTTCAAAAGTGTAAGCATTTAGATAGACTTTTAAATTATTTTTTTACATTTTTTATGTATAATATTACTTATTAGAAATAATTGTCCAAGAATAAGAACTACGTTGGAGGTCGATAATGGATTTATGAGCAAGAATACATTTTTTTTATTCGCTGTTTGTAATTAATTTTAATTGGTTTTGGCCACCGTTGCGTTGTATTAAGCTTTACTCATTTGACAGTATATTAAAAGGTTTTTAATCTAAAAATTAATTACAGGATCGTGACCGTGTATCTTTTAACAATAAGCAATTTTTTTTTTGATCGCATAATTGAAAACTGCTTAAACATTTATACTTATACAAAACATAATATTGTGATTATTTAAACTTTAAATAATAGTGCCCATTAACAAAATCTTAAATAAAAATCTACAGTTCAAAATAAGGATCGTCAATAAGGAGCGAAATAGTCATATAGTTTAATTGATTTTTTAATTATTTTAAAGTGTATAATGTATAAATGATTACAACAATATTACTTATACTACAAACTTCTGCTTTGCGTCAATATATTTAGATAATTAATTAATTTAATAATGAGTGTAGATTTTGTATTTAATATAAAATAAAAAGTACATGATGTTTGTAATTTTTTACCGAGAGTTTGATGCAAGATAAAGATCAAGAATACAAAGATTCTTTTACGTTTAGAGTTATTTTATGTTCTTATATATTAATGTTTTTTTTAGTTTTTGTTTCATTTTGATCTGTAAACTGTGACCCTAATTAGTATAGTCATACAGCATTTTAATCACAACCGACACAGAAATAAAATACTTTGGTCGTGATTTTGATAAACTTTTAACTTAAGCCCCGCTTTAAAGTCAACTATCGAGTTCATTTACTCCGTCAATAGATCTATTATGTCAATGGCATTGTGCAAAAGTGTATAAGTGTTTTATTGTAATATTAAAAGTTTATTGTGCTATATTATCATTCCATATGCATATTGAACTTGAAATGACATCTGACAGCATTCATTTTAAACCTTTGACTTAAAATATTTGTACTTAATGTATAGAAGGAATAAATTAGCTATTGCTATACATGTCTTAATTTCGAAAACAAATGCATTTATTATACTCGAATATTTTGCAATTTTTAAAACTTGTACAAACCACGATTTTACAAAAGAACATATAAAAATATTTCCTTTACATTAGCATAGAGTATTTAGTTTAAAGACTTTTTTACGCTTACTTGTAGTTTTAGTATATGATCTATTATTTTACTTACCACTACTACACAACTTACAAGTGGTACTACGTTGTGCTACAGTGAACATAAGTATTTTGACTAAAAATGTACTTTATTTTCGAAATAAATCATCTATGTTGAATGAATAATAATAATGCAACTGAAATTCACCGTCCATTTGTCATCGGTAGTTTGTTTCGCTAAATATATCTACGTTGTTATGTAATATAGTTAACGTCCAATGTGTTTCCGGTGAGGCTTCTTTTCTTTTTGCCGATCTTCCGATCGAAGTTCAGTACCGGAAATTACGGCGTTTTTTTGTCGTTGTAAAAAAATATATATATGTATTTATTATACAGTTCTCAGACGAAATGTTCGTCGTTTCTTTGGGCTTGCTCCTCAACCCCCCGTAGCAAAAGCTAAAAAAAAATAAAAAACATTTCGCAGGACGTGCTGTCTACAAAGTCGGGGAGAGGCTGTTGGACAGATGGAAGGAGACGGGGATTTCAAAAGAAAACCTATTTTATAACCCTCCCCTTTCCCCCCTCGATCTTGCCGTGCCACCGATAAAGGAGGCGCGCCGTGGAGAGGGTACGGGTGTGCGTGTGTGTACGTGGAAGAGAGTGAAAGAGAGAATTCGAGAGAGACGGCAAGGCGGCAGAACGTATGACCGCGTGCTCTGCGAGTCGTGTGCGTGTATGTATGCTTACGTGTGTGTCGTGAGTCTTTCAGTTGCCGGCAAACTATCGACGTGTTGTATTGTACCGTGTGAGGCGGCCGTGTCCTCTTCACGCGCTCCAAGTTTCGCTCCACAATCCTCGCCCCCGCCTCCGACCGGCGTTGGCGCGGCACCGCTCCGCTGTGTACGTAGTGCGTAAGGGTTGGCGAAAGCGCCGCGCTTTTGCTTTCTTTTTATACCCAGCACAACCGACTGGATACCGCGATCGGTTACCACGTGGTTACACCGGGCACGGCGCACGTGCACCGACGTTACCGCCGCAACCACCGCTATCACCCACAATATTATATTATGTACCGGCAAACGCCCGGGACGCCGGCGTCCGCTACTGCCGCAGCCGGTAGAGATAAAGGTCTGCCAACAGCGACCATGAAGTAAGCCAACACAAAAACATTATTAAGTATTGTACAGTTTATAGTGTACAGGGTGTTTATAGTGTACAGGGTGATTGGCTAATTACGACCCAACCCCGTTTTCTATTTACTTACCGACATCAAATTACCTACCTTTGATTGATTTCATTGCATTAACCTTTAAATGCAACCAACTTGTTTAACTATTTCACTAAGAGCACGTTTATATGCCTATTTAACCAAGGGTTTGGTAGAAGCAATTTTTATCAATATTTTAATTTAAAAAAAAAACTGTTTATTATAAAACATAAGCCGACTTTCAATAGTCCAATAATGAGCAGCATATATAGATACATATTCTTTTTATTATCAGGCCGTCATAGCGAAAACTTTTTAACGTTTATCACCGTTTTTATTCATTCAGACATTGGTCAACTATAAATCATCCTATTTTGTGCTTGCGGTGGTCCTAGAATCTTAAAACTTTGAAAAAAAGAACAAACGAAAAAGGTGTCATAATATATTTATGTTATGACTAGAAAATTTCAATAGTTACAAAATAGCCAATTTTACAATTAAAATTACAGCTGTGTCGGGTCATTTAGATAATAGATAGCTACTATTACTAAACTATTGGACTTAACTGTTTGAATGTCCATCAAAGATATATTGCTGTTACGGGTGTATAGTTTTATTTGTTTGTTTAACAACACTGTTTATAAATTGTAGGAAAATCAACAAATATTTTATACTCAACAAAACCTATAACGATTTATTTACAAGCTGTCCCGACCTGGCGTTGCCCGTGTATTAGAATAGACAAACAATCAGCTGATGGGATCACTTTATCCCTGTGGTATGAAAAACCATAGAAATGTAAAAATAACTATTGATACTATCGATAATCATAATTAATCATTTAAATTAATTAAAAATTAAAAACATGTTCTATCGGATCAAATTGTGAATCTAAACCTTTCTCGAATCAACTTAATCGCGCACACAAAATTTCATAAATATCTGTCCAGCCATTTAGGAGGAGTTTGCATACTTACATACGGACAGAAGAAATTTGTATATAAAGATTTTATTTTTGGATATTAATTATTATTTTGGCGAAAACGATAATGTAAAATTTAGCGGAAACGGTGCACGAAAGGCGGGAATTTTTACTGTAGGGGGGGAAGAATGTACAAACCAATACCATCGGGTTACTTTGATGTGACCGGTTTTTTTCCTTGCCGCGACCTTACGTTTACTAACAAAAAAAAACTTATGTTAACGTTGCCAAAATATGCTGTATTATACACGACCGATTCCTGTACCAAAGAAAGACACACCTAACGCATAATATGATTACTAAATAGTGGTATTCCTACGACGAAGATGATTTGTAAAATACACAACGCTCATTTGGTTCAAGCAACGGTACAAATTCTATGTATACCCTATAACAATAACACATTTTATTGTCAGTTTAACACTATTTTTGTTCATTTCGTTTTGCCGGAAACACCCGTTATGGTTTTTGACAATTATAGACATCAAACTCTACTCGAAAATTGTCTAAACGACATAGTTAATATTATTACAATAATTATTATTAATATTAGTTAGCCATAGACCACATTTACCCTAAGATATTTTGTAAAATTTCCTCAAATTTTCAATCTGGACGGTAAATTTACGCTCATCAGTCGAAAGTGTCGCTTCTAACATAATTAATTATTCATTGGTTCAGAAAATGGCTGTTCCTTTAAAAGGTTTCTACTGTTACGATTGAGTTTAGTTTGTAAATAAATCATCTCATTAACACGTCTTAAAGGTCGAAGGTTTTCTGATTCCCAGTATTATTTTTAATTTAAGACAGTCGTCGAAGGTCTGGTTGAAAGAACCGAATTGGATACTCGGGGTTACGTTATGTCAAGTGTGAGAAAGGAACGTTGTTTTTAATGGAAATCCTCGAGTTTTAACAGTTGGAATTCGGGAAAATAGTGTACATATATATATATTAATAAATAAATATATATATATATATTAACAAATAAATAGTGTACATATACATATATATATATATATATATATATATATATATATATATATATATATATATGTATAAATCTAAGATAATGCCGAATTAGTAAAGTGATTTAATTATCTAATGGCCCATTAACATTTAATGACGTTATAAAATTACAATTCAGTATAGACTCGTCTCGAGTAGAATGACACAAAGTACACGTGAAGTAGTTTTAGTGAAGGTTTTCGTTTGTGTGTATGTAATAAGATTCAAATTTACTACTACCTTTTCAACCAAACAGTTTCTCTGTTGCCATTATGGATGCATACGCATTTGTGATAACATTATTATCTTAGCATAGATGGGCAATCAATTTGGTCGATTAAATTACGTAGTTAAAAACTATGTATCAACATTGGTTTAGTGTTTTAACAAGGAATGATGATAAATTATACAAAAACAACACAGCAATATAATGTAGTCATTATTAAACTAGTGGATAATTTACATTTATATATACATTTTTTGTAAGATACACAGAGTGATTTTTTTAAAGTGATCCACTCAATATGTCGTAGGGTTTAAATTTGAATAAGTTATTGATTTCCACAACTGTATATTTAATTTTGTTTTAATAATGAAATAAAAAATATGTAATTTAAATTATATTTTAATATTTACGGTTTTGAACATGCTGTTTTCAAAATTATTTTGACTTGTTTAGATCACACTTATTGATTCCAGTCAATTAGCACGTCCCTTATAATTATGATAATATTGTGTTCGTTACAAATAAGTTAAGTATACGATCGTGCTGGCCGGCTCCTCACAAAATGTTATTAATATGTAGATAGTATACAAAGTATAATATGACTGTACGAATGATGGATCCTAAAATATTACCAACAATATATTATTATAATATGATGTACTTAAATAATTGTGTTGAGTTATAACAGTTTACACATTTGTATTGGTTTAATAGTTAAAGATTCATAATGCTGTTTTCGTGTATATTTAATTCAAACTAGTTATTCAGTTGAAAATTACTGACGTTATTAATGATTTGTAGGTTACCGATTAACTAATTCAATATAAGACATTTGGAATATCTCGTGTTTTAATTCTACTAGTTTATATAAAATCTCAATACAAATCGAAAAGACACACACTTAATAATAAAAAAATAGTTAAATAATTCAGTATTTTTATATCGCGAATGAATACCATGCATTTTGTTTTAATAATAATTACATTCTTATGAATAATGCAAGGCTCTTAGGTATGTTTCTTGGTAATCCATTAGTCATCAATACACAATGCTTGAAACGGTGACGAAATTTCATGGGTATCGCGAATATCATGATGTATATTATAATAATAAGTTTATGAATTTAATAATTTGTCTGGAGTACACGAGGAAATACATGTGTATGTAGCTCAGGGTGACCATTAGTCATATTATACCTTTTTATTTATGAATAAATTACAATACTGCAAGTTATACGCCTCTGCAGACTATATATATGTATTACTTCTTTCGTCATCTTCGTGTTAAAAACCAATTGCTATTCAATATTATTAAACTATCTATTCTTTGTCTTGCTGTAGTACAGGTGCAATTATTGAAAACAAATTGTTTTTATATATTTTTTATTTTTAGTTGGCGAAAAAAAAATTTTAATTAAAAAGAAATTAAATGCTTCCACGAAAAAAACGATACCAATTATAATTTGTCACCTCAAGCGGTAGTGTTAAATCCAGAAATAATTATAACTAATGCTTGGAGATAATTATGATGTTTTTTTTTGTAGACGGTTAAGCGTTTTGCAACAATTCGATAGCGTGAAATTGAGATTTTTTTTAATTATACATTTTTGGATGCAATAACCTCACAATACCTTTAATAGATTTACCTACACCGTCAAATCGGTGATTTTGCTTTAATCCATCGGGTCAATGTTTATATAATAGAGTTTACACGGTCCCTTAACCGTTTAATGTATGTATTATACCGAGTTATGCTAAATAAATTAGTAAATTTAATGACTAATCGAAATTTAATGGACCGATTACGATCCGCTAAATAATGTTTTAAAGACTCACTAAATGTTTAATGATTCGTTAAACACTCAATGGACGCGACAATAAAATTATTTATAGTAAAAAATATTTTACATTAAATCTATTGTTTATTTTACAAATATAGAAAAGTTTATTATTTGGTGTGGGTTGCTGAAGCTGTCACTTTTCTGTCTAGCTTATGACGCGCGTTAATGTTAATAATAGTAAATAACTATAAAATATAATGTCATATTGGTCAAGTATAATTTGGTATGGGGCATACTGAGATTTTTAATGTTATAAGTGTTAAAATAAAAATAAAAACTCAAATTATAAACATGTTTAAATATGAATTAAAAAATGTTATTTTGAATGTTTGCAAAGACTTATTTCTAATCCCAAATTTACGTTTTCTTGATTTTAATTTTGAGTATAAAGATTTTTATTTGTAATTATGGCCAGATTAGCCAATCGCCATTATTATTTTGATGAAATATAAACCTATTAAAAATCTGCTTCTGTTACATAAGTTTCGAATAAAGCTATGAAAAATATAATTTTAAATCAAATGTGGGTGCATATTACTACAATGTATCATAATATTATATAATGTTAGACCACGTTGACAAAGTATCTTTATGTTAAAAAGTTAAGGTTTCTTAACGTGTTAAACACCTAGTAAAAAATCGTGTATAAAACATTAAGGTAATAAATATTAAATTAAAAATTTTAAATTATACTTTTAAACGCCTAACCGTGACTAATCGAATCGTGTTTATAAATAAATCAAAACGGGAACGTTCTCTAATATTATTAGGTATGGCGGTCATTGCTTTTGTAGTAAGTACTCATTTTAATAACTATAGTGGAGTAATAAAATTATTATTTCTCTAGTTGAAGCTATATACTATTTAAATACTTTATTATACAGACACTA